CCTCCGCACAGCCTGTCCGCACGCCGCGGAGCTGGTGTTGGTGCTTCTGCAGAACGGAAGGTTGAAGATGGAAGCGGCTTTATAAGCAGGACGCTGCTGAATTGCCGCCTTCGGCCGGAAAGTAAGTGCAGGTTCAGCTGGTGCGGGGGGAGCGCGGCCCGGGATGCAGTATGGAATGGTGGGTTACTTCCGCGTGGCTGCAGAGAGTTGAATGAGGTGGAAGTTGCTGAAAATGGTGTCCCGTCATTGCAACCATGTATCCTCTTCCTACTACTTCTCAGTAGTTCCCAGTATCAGGACTAGGGGCAACGGGCACAAGCTGGAACATAGGAAGTTGCATTTAAGTGTGAGGAAAAACTTCTTTACAGTGAGGGCGACAGAGCACTGGAACAGGCTGCCCAGGGAGGTTGTGGAGTCTCCATCTCTGGAGATCTTCAGAACCCATCTGGATGCAGCCCTGAGTAAAGTGCTCTAGGTTATCCTAATTCCGTGGGAGAGTTGGACTAGATGGTCTCTAGAGGTCCCTTCCAACTCCAGCAATTCTTAAAAAAACAAACAAACAAAAAAACCCCAACAAGTAAATTCATTTGTTACTGTTGAGCCTTAAATGTCTGATCTCAGGTATTTCAGGGCATGGGACCGGAAAATGTCTTAAATTCCTAGTTCTATTTGCTGATAATTGGGAAGCAAGGAAATAGGTGTTTACCCCCACTTGTTTTGGCCAGAGGCTGGAGGAGATGGAAGAGGGTGATGAATTGATTCTCATCGTCTGCTGAAATGTTAGCTCTGTTGGCTGCTTTTTGACAAAGCATGAGAACAGCTATTTCACAAGAGCTGCCTGGCTGGAGAATAGCAGCATTCATTCTCTCTGTATATATTTTGGACAGAGAGTCTTGCAATAAAATGAAAAAAACGAAATGCAACGAACGCAAGTATGTTCAGAGTTCATTAGAGGGGCATGTGTATATTTCTTAAGTTTGACTGTGCCAGAATGAAGTTGCTAAGGCAAAGTGTGAAAAAGTAGCATTTATTCAGGCACCGAGCCCCGTTGCCTAAAGTCATAAATTCAGAGAATACAAAAATGGCAAGGCAGCATACTTTGGACTTGGCATTTATAGATACACAGCTCAACATAATTTTCACAAAAATCTTTTCAGTCCAATATCAGCTGAGCTAGCAAACATGGCAAGTACCTTTAGTCTTTCAGACTTTGACTTGGTTGTTACATAAGAATATGATGAATGAAATAATGAGGAACAATATTTATTTTTTGTTGTTTATTTTTGAGAATGTGATAGCTTTTTAATATATTGAATGCCCTTGTTTTCTTGGGCAGGTGTATCTCTGTTAATACTTAATACTTTAGATTGCACAAGAGAGCTAGGGCTCACACCTCTGTTTTCCTGTAGGTTGTACATGAGAGAGTTGATAGGGAAAATAAAATCTAAGGGAATTGTGAGGAGAAAGCTTACCTTTTATTGAACATCACTATCGAAGTGAAGCTCATGAAACTTTACAGAATTGAGCCTGTGAATGAGAGTATGCAAATGCAAGAACAACTGGCATTTGTATCACAGAATGGAGACTGATGCACCCTGTCTTTGGACTTCCACACCCTCTTTAATTTATGTAGAATTAACAATAAGCTTAAAAAATAAATTCAAGTTCACTTCTCCAGTGTTTGTGCTCTGCACTTCCTAGAAGATGAGATGTTATGTCAAGGATGGAATTGAGTTGAGTGCAGGGGCTTGGTGTGGCCTCTGTGCCTGCTCTGTGTCTCATGGCTGGGGCACCTGGGAGGTGGGGAGCCCGTGGCATGGAGGGGACCAAGGGAGGTGCAGCCTCTGCCACTGCCTCACAGCAAACCCCACTTTATCAGCTTCTGCTTGCGAGCCTTCTGCTCTCTGAAATACACAATTTGCATATTCCTGCTTGCTTTAGGATTTTTGGGTTGCAGTTCCTATGGTTGTGGGGCTTGGAAATTGCAGACTGAATAGCTGCTCAGTTACACAGGCTCCTTGGTCGTCTGGTCATATTAAATATACTCTTTTCAGTTCCCTCCTCCAGAGGAATGGTAAAATCTATGAAATAGATTGGCACGTGTGTCCTTTGATTAATTCTGCTGGGAATGTTCATGCCTGTCATTGCTGAAGACTTGTTTTAAATAGGATGCTTTATACGAATCTTTAATTAGTGCTTCAGGAATCCAATGAAACTAGCAGGAGAACTGTTACTCTTTGGTAACAAAATACTTACTGTTTAGAAAAAATGCTTATACTGATGCTTCCCATTTTTACTAAAAATCCCTATTTAGCTTTTTTTCCCTGACTCACAGAATCCTTACCAGTGCAACTTCTGTAGAAATTTTGTGTCCTTTTACTTGAGGATATGCTAAAGCTGAGCAAGTTAGTGTGTCTGTGAGCACAACAAAAATAATGGGCAGCAGCTCTAAGTTTTAGCCACTGCAGCTTAGTAAAGAGTGATCTATGTATCAACACTTTTTTTTTGCAGTTTCTCAAACTGTAGTAGAATTTTCTTATTTATGGGAGCCAGTTAATTTGCCTGCACCAGAAAACAGGGTAACTGAAACAGTTCCTGCCTGTTGCTGACCTGTTCTGCCCTGTTCCAGCAGAGATGCCTGAATCAGCTCTGAGCTGCTGGAGTTTGCTGGCTAGACACAAAAGCCTGAGGAAGGGGGATGGCAAGGGAGGATTGCCTAAGCTCCTGCAGTTGAAGGTGGTGTAACATTATCTGTTGGCTTTCCTGCAACTGTGCATATTCTGCGGGCTGAGGCATTTTGAGAGACCATTGTCGCTCTTGGACAAAACTTTATCTGTGTATAGAAAACTTGCATTGGTATAGGGTCTCAGGGTTTTTTTATTCACCTTTATAGTGAAGTAGAGCAGAAGGTTCTTCATATGATGTCCTTCCTCTTCAGTTAAAGAGGAATAGAAAGTATTAAGAAATTTTTTTTTGTTGTGTCTTAGGAACACTTCAAGAATGAGTCCACCACAGGACAGAAGCAGAAATTCCTGCAGCAGTGAGCCTCTGGCAAAGTGCCTTCAAGCAAAGAAGGACTTGGAAACAGCTATATCTGGAATTGTCAAAGCTGACCAACAGATTAAAGAGAACTGGCGGGAGGTAATTTTAAATTCCTTACAAAAAAAGTTTTCATAACAAACATGACTTTAATGACAGTTTTTGTTATTCCAGAGTTCTTTCTATTATGATGATGGCTTGAAATTTTCCTAGAGACTGCAAGCATCTTGCTGTGTTATTTGGTCATGCTCTTGATAAAGGTATTGCTGTAATACTAGCTTAGGCATGTAGAATGTACTAAAGCTGTTGGACAAAACATCAGAATAGAAAGATACAGCAGTAACATTGTTCTTCAGTACTTCTTTAAAGGTAGCCTTGGGACTTGTACTAACTTGAGTCATATGGTGCTGTGGGTGACTGCGGTTAGTTTTGGAGAAATAAATTGCTCCAAAAATACCACTTCCCTGTGACAAATACTATTTTGTAATGGGCACAGCATATGTTTGTTGGTGCTCTTGACAGATGTTCTAGAAATGGTACATGTTACTTGACAGGTGAAGGCCAAGATTCACAGCCACATCAGCCGCCACCTGGAGTGCCTGCGCAGCCGCGAGGTGTGGCTGTTTGAGCAGGTGGATCTCATCCAGCAGCTGAAGGAGGAGGCACTGCAGCAGCAGGCCCAGCAGCTCTACTGGGTAAGCTCTGGTTGTAAGTTGCTGCACTAGAATTTTTAAGTAAACTTTGTCCTTGCAAGTATTTTCTCCATCTTAATCTTAGAAGCTGGAACAGTAACACATGTTTTGTCTTCCATGCAGTATTTGGGACAATTCAATTGCCTTATTCATCAGCTGGAACGCTCCTATAGTAAGGAACTGGCAAACCAGATTTCAGTTTGCCTGGAAAGGTAAATATATTTTATGGTGCAAGTTAACACAACTGGTTCTTGTTTTGACTTAGGCATTTAATCTGATTTTTTTTTTTTATTCTAATAGAAACAGTAATAGATCTGTCGCCACATTTTAAAGGGTCCCTAGGAATAAGAACTTGAAAACATTCTGATGTATAATTCCTCTCATCTTTTTTTATCTTAGATTGAAAAAACAAGACTGTAAGGAGCAGTGGAGATACTAATTTGTGCAGACTATTTAGAATATTATTTATTGATGGCAATTGAAGTAAGAAGGAGAAATTGTGTTTTGCTAGCTATTTATTCAGTTCTTGATTTGTGAATAGGCATCTCTTTGTTTTTATGCAAGTATTAAAAGTCTGTTACCTAATTAGTGCCAGGTCAGTTTGGAAGCCTTTTTATGAAATAATGGATTGATTCCCAACACTTGATAGAGGAAGAAGATTCTAATTTTTAAAATTTTGATTATTTTCTTTCTGTAACTATTATCTTACTCCTTTAGACTGGGAAATCTTACTCTTAAACCAGAGGAATCATCCATCCTGAATTTTGAGGCTGACACATCTTACCTTCGCCAGGCTATTACCTCATTTGGTTCAATTAAAACAATGGTAAGCACCAAGGTCTTACTGGGTTGTAAAACTAATCTTTTGAGGCCATAGCACAATGTATTTCAAGTGATATTTCTACTTTTAGTTATAGCTTGGATGGATCCTGTGTACAAGTCATATAGTTTTAGCTGTACAATATATACAAAGTGGTTTATTAACTATTGCATGTAGTTCTGATTTTGGCTGAGCTTAGATCTAGTTATGTAAGTGTTATTTTAATGTATTTTGGCCTAGACTGAGGAAAAGATAATATTCTTACTCTATTCCAGCAACTGAAAATAGTTATGGTTCTATTTAGATATTAATGGTTCTGCATTGTACATGGCTTTCTGGGATAGAAATATTTTGGGATTGTTATGTAAGCAGCGTATCTTCTGTATTATTGGAGATAATTCTCTTAAAGAAAGTGGACTTTTATAGTATATCTTTCTCCATTGTGTTTTTAAATGTTGAGAAAATTGTTAGCCACAAAGAACTGACAAATTGTAACTGTGCTTTACTTCTGCTTTTTTGTAGAATTCATCCTAGAAGGGGGACAAAATTGATACTTAAATTTTGGTTTTGTTTCCTTACAGCAAACCTCAGAGAGAGAGAATACTTCTCCCTGGTTCCCAGGGCAGAATTGTGCCCTCATGAACTGTGAGCAGGTAAGATTAAGACTCATATCTGTGACTGTTTAATTGTATTGAAGGGAAAAAGGGAACTCAAACACAATATTGGCTTGCTTGAGTTTAACATCTGTTTGTTAAGCTTTTTGAGTAGCCAGTAGCAGTCACTGTGGTGAGCATTAGTGGTCTGATGTTCTAGCTGCTCTAGGAACAGATGTGCAAGAACGTAGTATGAAAGTGAATTTGGAGTGTGATGGTCAGTGAGAATTTTTTAATTGAATATTCCTTGATGTTGTCAAGTCAGGACTTGAAACTATCAGATTCCTTTTACTGCAGAAATCAGTGGGAAATCTTATGTTGGGTCAGAAACAGCATCAGTGAAAGAGGGTACCAAATTAGTAACAGGAGTTGTGGTCAGAGGGAGGTTTATGGCTGGGTTACACATACCAGAACTGTGAGTTGTAGAGGTTGTTGCTTCTCTTTCTTGTCAGTTACTCTGAAGAATCTGGGATCACAAAATCTATCAGTGCAGTGTCTTAAAGTGATACAGGCAATTGAAGATTCAGTTTTTTCTTAATTAGAAGGGACTGTTTTTTCTTTTGGTTCAGAAATACTGATGCATATTGAATGCCTGTTTCAATGTTCACCATAGATTACCTCAGCAATTAGACTTTCTGATGACCAACAACATTCTTTCTCAGCAGAAAACATTATGTGGAACAGTGAGTGCCTCACTTGCTGACTGGTTACTTGGAAGCAGACCTGTGAGTGTTTGCCAGGCTCCATATGTTCCAAGCACCAATCTTGAGGAATGGGTTACACAAAAATGTGTGTCAGAGCCCAGCCAGGTAAGGCTTGTATGCACTAACCTAGTTTTGAATAAAGGGGAAAACACAGTATCTTGATGGCAGATGTAATATGGTGGGAAGTAAACCTTCTGTAATTCCCTTCACTGCCTTAGGTACAGGTAGTGCTTTAGCACTTCCTGTCAGAATGTTCCTAACTCTAACTGCATGAGCAGTTACTGAGCATTGTCTTTTAGTGTTAATCAATGCATTTCAATGTGTCTTTACTAGGATTTCAATTCTTCCAAAGTCTGTTATTTTGAGGAAGCCTGGGGAAATCTGAAAGATTTGGAAAACTGGCTCCTGCAGAATCAACAGTGTGATGTTGCTGGGAAGACAGACTGCCCTGGCCGCAAGGACTCCACCTCTACTTTCAGCTCATCCTTTTCCACTATTGAAAAGGCGGAGGAATTGGAATCCCTCGGCCAAGAAGAGATGGACCTTTCTGACTGGCTGATTACTCCTGATGCAGAAAATGGAAGTAGTGCTTCAGATGAGAAATGGAAGTATGAATTTAAACCTTTTAGGGAAGAATTTAATTTGAATGATTGGCTCCTCAAAGCTGAAGCATGCACCAGTTGTCGCGGCAGCCAGATCAAAAGTGTGGAAATTGAGAACCTGGGAAATCTGAAGTGCCTGAATGATCATCTTGATGGAAAGAAACCACCCACTACATCTGCTGTAAATGCTTGGCTGCTTCAGCATCCCCAGGCCCCATGTAAGGTGGAAGATGTGTGCAAAGCTAATGAGCTGTGTGCCAGCTTTTCAGAGTGTGTGTGTGATGAAAACTGTGGAAAAGAGGCTCTGTGTAAATGGCTTCTGAAGAAAGAAGGGAAGGACAAAAATGGAGTTCCAGTCAGCCAGAAAGATTTACCAAATCCTGAGCATGAGAAGACCAATTCTGCTGCCAACACCTGGCTTAGCCCTGCACATCAGCTCACAGGGGAACCCCTTAGTGCAGAGAAAGAAGATTATTTGGCAGAGATCGCAGAACCCTTGAAAGTGCTGCTGGAAAGGCCTCTGACAAGCTGGCTGGCCAAGTCTGAGCACAAAGCAGACAGTGCAGAAGAAAAGGCGAGTAGGGAAAAAGCAGATAATAGTTTCAAAAGTCCTTTCCTAGACCTCTTGGCTCCATTCCACCTCCCCTTGAATGTAAACAGTTGGGTGTTGGCTTCAGACAACCTGCAGAATGCTAACCCACCTCCAGCAGAAGATAAATGGCTTCTACGCAAGAAAGCACAAGTGAGCTTAACTTTTTGTTACTGCTGTGTATTAAGCCAATGTGCTGGGTTTATTGTTTCACTCACTTTAATGCCTGCTTTCTGTTCCAAATTCATAGCTCTTCTGGGTAATACTGACTGGCCGTTTTCTTAGCCCTTTTAATGTTTTCAGTAATTATTACTTAGTTACTTAAGTAGATGACAAGTTAATTTTGAAGTATTTTTGAACTACTTTTTGAAGTACTCTTACTAAATAAATAAACCATCAATCTCTAAGATTCAGAAGTCAATTCTGTTTTCTTTGTGAATATTTCCAGAATTTGGAGATGCATCAGTATGTATTTGTTTGGAGGTCAGTAATTAAGGTGACTTCTCTTTCAGGACTTTGGCCTTCCTACAGTTTGTGACCTTTTTGCCTGTATGAAACTCAATGGAGATAAAGAAAAATGGCTGTATCAGACTCCTTTACAGGTAGGATGCACAGAATGTATTAGAATAGCTGAGCCTAAACATAACTCAGGGGTACAGGATACAGACACTGGCAGTTAACTGATGTTTTCAGAGGTTTATACATAATGTTTAACAGCATTGTGATTTTCTCCCCATAAGCCTTTTTAACAGTTTGGACCATTCTGCTTTTTCATATTCCTCTTCTGATGGCCAGCTGGGGAGGGCTTTACTTACATTCTTGAGCTTTACTTACACTCTTCAACTGATTGACACTTGGTAAAATCTTGGGGACTTTTATTGTAACTAGAATGTGCAAATAATGTCTAAATTTCCAGGCAGTTTCCTTCTTATCTTGGTAGTGTATTTACAGCTGATGTCACATTTCTCCTCGCTGCCAAGATAACTCTTTATCATTGTTCTTGAAATTCATTAGAAAAGTCCTTAGCAGGTGTGCGTACTTCAAACCCTGAAAGCCAAGATACTCAGTTCTAGGAAGTATGAAATTTTCTCCACCCCCCCCCCCCGAATGTCTTATACAAGTGTTTTGAAAACTGTTGCTTTCTGCTTATCAAATAGAATAACCCCCTTTCTCATTTGTTTAGATGTGAACAACTGGAAGCATCGAAATCGTCCCTTTCCCGCTGATCAACCGCACATCACGCTGAGTGACTGCAGCCAGCTGAGTTCTTGTGTTTGTGTTTGGTCGTCTGCTTTTTCTTCTCAAATTATAACAAAAAGAAAGATTACTCATATGACAGAGTTATGGTGCAGAAGATGCCTTTTTGTTAAGATGAATTCTGAAATGTAAACCCACTGAGCATAAGCAATCTGATACTATAGAGTGTTAGTAAACTCCTATCTGTTATGGGACTACATGAATCTCCTTTAATGGGTTGTCACTTGAAGTATGTTGAAGCCAGTGCAGGTATAAGGAGAAATCTCTCTGGTGCTGTGACATGTCCACCTTCGGCAGTGACTTCAAAAGTGTTGCCATTCCTTTCAGCTGCTACAACTTTGTCATGAGTTGGTTTCCAGCTTACTGGGGTTGGGGTTGCAAGGCATCTGAGGCTGTGTTTGGAAGCTATTTCTTTTATTGAGCAGTTGCTAATTTTAAAGGTTTTGTTTGCATCTTATATTGGTGCATCTCCCAGCTGAGTAGATGTAGTCCAGGTTTTGAAAAAGACATGAATTTATGGAACCTGACCCATGACAGGAAAACTGGTAACTTGGTTTTGAATGGAAACATGTCTTTCAAATTGTTGAGCCATTCAGTAGATGAGATCCTACCATGTCCCCAGCATTTAATAACTATTTGAATTTCATTGAAAAAGCTGTGAGATGAAAGATGTATATTTCTGCTGGTTTTAGATAATTCACAAAGAACTTTTATGGACTAAACCACTAGAAAGCAGGCATCTTAGCCACATAATATTTAAAGGTAGTATTTGGGGAATTTGATGCCTTCTCATCAGATTGCTGTCATGCCATAATTGGGAAAAACACTAACTTGGCAAACTGTGTGTCTCCTACTGATCCATTTTAAAGATATTTAAGCTGTAGATTTCCATGTTGTTATGCATATGAAAGTGGGGTTGAGTAACTGATCCCTGTAGCTGTGGACATAATAGAAGCAATACCTCTTTAGGTATTTTAACATTTTGAGCCT